AGAAAAAAAAAAAAAAAAAAAAAAAAAAAAGAAAAAAGTTCATTAATGTAATTTAATTTATATTACTAAATTATTTTAAAGATATATATATATATTTTTTTTTGTTATCTATTTTCTATAGAAATAGATGTTTTCGTGAAAACTAAAAAATATATATGTATTTTTTTAATTTTAAAATTTAGATATTATAAGGAGATTAGAATAAAATAAACATAATTTTTAAAAATAAAAATTAAATAGTTAAACTTAGATGTTAAACTATACTTCATATTATTATAAATCTTTTTTTTATTTAAAATAGAGATATTAATGAATATTTGCGCATAATTTCACAATTTAGCTATGATTTTAAAAACAAAATTTGAAAGTATATTAGAAAATAAAGGGAAAGGAAACGCCTTTTAAATAATTTAATTTTTTAATTAAAAAAAACAGAATATTATTGAACAAATATTTTGTTTTTTTTTTTCCCCCCGGTAAAATAGATAGCGCCGCCATAGGACTTTGTTCGAGCGTTGGGTTGCAGAGCTTATGTTCTCCTTCGTCAAGCATGAAGCTTTCCGGAGAATGACGGCAAAATCAACCGTCACCCTTGTCTTCAAACAATTTCCCCCTTACAATTTCAAGCTTCATCCCTTCAATTTTTCGACCCAAAATCTTCAAAATCGGGAAAGTTTCGACTCTGCTAGAACCCAAAAAAGCGGTAAGTTTCTCGTCTACTGCAACTCCCAGATCACAAAACTTGGAAGGAATGGGTGTATTAAGGAAGCAGAGTCCGTTTTCAATCGTATGCCTCATAAGAGCACCGTCTCCTGGACTGCTATGCTCACTGCATACGCTGAAAACGGCGAAATAAATAAAGCCCAGGAAGTGTTCGACAAAATGCCGGACCGAAGTATTGCATCCTATAATGCGATGATTACGGCTTATCATCGGAGGAACATGGTAAATGAGGCTTTTGAGTTGTTTTCTAGCATGCCTCAGCGTAATTCTGTTTCCTATGCTACCATGATCACTGGGTTTGTGCGTGTTGGAATGTTTGAGATGGCCGAAAAGTTGCATTGGGAAAATCCGGGTATGGTGTCGTCTAATGTGTTAATCAATGGGTATTTGAAGGCGAGGAGAATAGAAGATGCGGTTCGGATCTTTGATGGCATGGAAGAAAAAGGCGTGGTTTCTTGGAGCTCCATGATTGATGGTCTCTGCAAAGTTGGGAAGATTGTTGGTGCTAGAAAGCTGTTTGACAAAATGCTTGAAAGAAATGTGGTTACTTGGACAACAATGATTAATGGGTATATGAAGATGGGAAATTTTAAAGATGGTTTCACATTGTTTCTAAATATGAGAAGGGAAAGGGTGGAGGTTAATGCAACTACCTTGACTGTTTTGTTTGAAGCCTGTGGTTGTTTGGATCGATATAGAGAAGGAATTCAGATCCATGGATTGGTTCTGTCCTTGGGGCTCGATTTCGATGCTTATCTAGCCAATTCTATGATCGCGATGTATTCTAGATGTCATTCTATTAATGCAGCTGCTACGATATTTGATTTAATGGTTCAGAAAGATATAGTTACATGGAATTCTTTGATTGCAGGTTATGTTCAATCCGGGGACATCGAAAAAGCTTTCTTGCTATTCGAGAATATGCCACAAAAGGACGTCGTTTCCTGGACAACTTTGATTTCTGGATTTGCCAGCAAGGGGATGATTGATAAATCCATTGGTTTGTTTCAAATGATGCCTGAGAAGGATGATATTGCTTGGACTGCTGTAATTTCAGGGCTCGTGAGCAATGAGGAATATGAGACAGCTTTCCATTGGTTTATTGAGATGCTTCAGAAAGCAATCAAGCCAAATCCACTCACTTTGAGCTGTGTGCTTAGTGCTGCCGCAGGTGTAGCAATATTAAGCCAAGGGTTGCAGTTCCATGCACTTGTGACAAAGATGAGTATGGAATATGATTTATCAATCCAAAACTCTCTAGTTTCTATGTATTCAAAGTGTGGAAATGTGGGTGATGCATTGAGGATGTTCTATTATATTGAGGCTCCTAATGTTGTTACTTACAATTCCATTATCACTGGGCTAGCTCAGAATGGACTTGGGAAAGAATCACTGAAGTTATTCACGAAAATGCAGGACGAATACCTGGAACCTAATCAGATCACGTTTCTAGGCGTTCTTTCAGCATGCGTTCATGTGGGATTTGTGGAAGAGGGATGGAGATACTTTAATCTAATGAGTTCATTGTATAATATTCAACCTCAGGTAGATCACTATGCGTGCATGGTTGATCTTCTTTGCCGAGCTGGGAGATTCAATGAAGCAGTTGATTTGATTTCTTCTATGCCATTTGATCCTCACGAGGGTGTTTGGGGAGCAATGCTTGGAGCAAGCTGGACCCATCTGCGTCTTGATGTTGCAGAGCTTGCAGCTCATAATCTCTTTGAACTGGAACCTAATAGTGCAACACCTTACGTGATTTTATCTAATTTACACTCTGTTTCAGGTGATAAGCGGAAAGATGAGGTTATAAGGTCGATGAAGATATCGAAAGGGATAAAGAAGAGTCCAGGTTGTAGTTGGATAATAGTTAAGGATAAAATCCATCTGTTCTATGCAGGAGATCGATCCCACAAAGACATCGAAGAGATGACGGAAATTATACACGCATTGGCAGCAGAAATAGGAGATTCGATCAGGCTTAGAGAGACGACTTGAGATTTTCTCGGTCGTTGATTGGGGTTTTGATAGGGGTTGGACGGCTCCTGGAACTGACAAAAAAGAAGAAGAGAATGAGAGCAAAACAGAAAGAAAAGAAAAGAGACCATAAAGTCCAGACGAAGACAGAGTTTACCGTTCTTTAAGTGATTGAAGTCAGTCAAATTAATCTTGAGTCATTCCTTGTTTACGAGGTTTAGGAGAAAAACCAAAGCTGTTATTACGAGCTAAAACTGCACATATAGAAAATTTGTAACTCTAATAGTTCAATATTTCCACCTCCTGAATGTTCCCATCGGCAGCCAAACGAAGACAAGACCATTTGAAGTGGTTCGAAGTGCCTCAGGAGATGGGGATCGGGGTGTGGAACAAAGACAAGACTGTTTGAAGTGGTTCAAAGTGCCTTAGGGGATGGGGATCGGGGTGTGAAACAAAGACAAGACCGTTTGAAGTGGTTCGAAGTGCATCAGGGGATGGGGATCGGGTGTGGAACAAAGACTGGGGATCGGGTGTGGAACAAAGACAAAACCGTTTGAAGTGGTTCAAAGTGCCTCAGGAGATGGGGATTGGGGTGTGGAACTAAGACAAGACCGTTTGAAGTGGCTCGAAGTGCCTCAGGGGATGGGGATTGGGGTGTGGAACTAAGACAAGACCGTTTGAAGTGGCTCGAAGTGCCTCAGGGGATGGGGATCGGGGTGTGAAACAAAGACAAGACCGTTTGAAGTGGTTCGAAGTGCCTCAGGGGATGGGGATCGGGGTGCGAACCAAAGACAAGACCGTTTGAAGTGGTTTGAAGTGCCTCAAGAGATGGGGATCGGAGTGTGCAACAAAGATAAGACCGTTTAAAGTGGTTCGAAGTGCCTCCAGAGATGGGGATCAAGGTGTAGCAGCTATAGCAGCAGCTGCTACACCCAAAACGAGCATCACCGCACGTCAGGGGCGAGCTTGAAAGCATTAGTTGTCCTTGCAGGTCTCGTTGTTTCCTTCCTTTTAGAGCCCCGATTTGAACATTAAAACCAGCACCAATCAGATGGCCCAAAACAAAAAATGGTTTTAAAAAAAACAAATCTCATCAGTTCATCAATCTAATATGTTGAAGAAATTAAAAGACTTAAAAGTTTGTTTTCAAATTAAATTGGAATTTTCATTCATTCATTTATGATAGTTTTATGGATTAAAAGAATACGTACTAAGAAGTCTACGATCGTAACATTGAATGATTGAGACGTATTATATAGGTTATGTAGTATACTTTTGTATATTTTTAACATCTTTGTCAACTTGAGCAGAATTTAACTAATTATTTCTTTAATTCACGAGCTATCGGTTCGGAGAATCTTTTCGACTTACATGTTAGAACTAAAATAAATAATTTTTTGTTTTATGACAATAAGAACTTTTTCTTTTTTAAAGTTCATAAAACATATAATTTAACTTTTTTAATAGTTAGAATCAATCATTAGTTCCCAACTATGAAGTAAATAGAATTTTATATGTTCGTCGTTTAGGCCGGTTGTGAGATTTATGTTCATTGTAGTCGTTCTAGGAGTTCTTCGTACCTAAATAGTACTAGAACCCTAGTGCTCGTGTGAGTTCCCACATCGGTTGGGGAGGAAAACAAAAAATTCTTTATAAGAGTATGAAAATCTCTCTCTAGCACGCATTTTAAAAACTTTAAAAGAAAATCCGAAAGAAAAAGTTCAAAGAGGACAATGTATACTAGTGATAACGCCCTTACAACCAACCCTTGATAAAATAAACGAAATTGCTAATTGGGGTCGCATGAAACACCCAAATTAGAAGGTTGAACATAAAAGTCAAAGCAAAGATTATACACACAACGTTTCTTATTAGGAAAGAAAAGATGCACAAAAACAGAAATTGAAACAAACCCACAAAGGAAACCAAAACACTTTTATATCAACCACCACAGCCACCACCACAACCACCGCCACAGCCCCCACCACATCCACCTCCACAACCACCACCGCCATCACCACCGCTACCATCACCTCCCCCTTCCTCTCCTCCTCCTCCTCCTCCGCCACCATCATTGGTTAAACTGGTAACCACAGCTGCAGTAGCTAAGCCAGCAGCAGCCCCAGCAAGAATAGTCATCCCACCATTCTTAGCTTCCCCAAGTTCAAGGTCACGGCTTGGCCTTGGCGTTGGCCTAAGAGCACTAGATGTGTACGTGGGTGGCGCTGCTTTCTTCTTCTTACGGCCTCCATAGCTACAAACACACCATAAAATCACTGCACTCGCTATCACACACCCGCATGTTATAAGAACAATGGCGTAAGTTCTCATCTCTACTCTTGGGACTTAACCAATCAGATTGCTGCTTTTTGTGTTCAAGTTTATCTGGTTTTATATGAAGTGGCCAATCTAATGCTTAAGCCACCAAATCCCCAAGAACAAGTCAATGGCAATGATTGAGTGATGAAGAAGTTAAAGAGAGGGAAGATTTTTTTGAAGCCATTTAGTTGACTTTTGGTATTTTAACGAAACTACCTTCGAGTTTCATTTTTGTTTCTCGTAATCAACCAAATAATTATTATATCGTTCTTCGTTAATACGAATATAGTTTAATGGATAAGATACTAGTTATCATCTAAAAATGGGTCCTGCAGTCAAACTCCCTCCCTTCTGCCTTTCCACTTGAGGGTCAATCTCCGTCTAGCCTGAGGAAATCTTTGCATGCCTCCGTTACCTCATGAGAGTCTTACGCCCCATAGAAACTGTTTATCTTAGACGGTCCCTTGACCTATAGGTCCTGACACAATGTTAGAATTCTAGCTCTTCCAGAGTAGCATCTCACTCATGATGGCTCGGGCCCTCCTGGAAAGAGGCCTTCTTCGCCTTCCACCTAATCTGAGCAGGAAAGGCCCAAAGTCAATCTCAGAGGAGGGACAATGAAGTTTCATAGGGTTTTTTGGATACACGTTTTTTTTCGACGAGAAATTTGAGTGGAATTTAAAATTAATGTTGATGATTAATATAAAAATTAAAAAATATTTTAAAGGATTTTTCTCCCAAAGTTTCTAATAATTTTGAATATATATATAATTATTATTATTTATTTAGTCAATGTTTTTGTCAAAGTCTAAGGGCATGTCATATAATGACAAGTCTTTACGCAAGAAACTAAGACATTTGAATATTAAATATATTCTAAGGTAAATAATGACCTAAGTACACATGCAAACCTCAACCACACAAAACTAAACAAATTTCTCTCCGCTCATTAAAACTAATTACCGACCAAATTAATTAATCACTTTTTGTATTTATAATGTAAATAATTGCTTAATAATTTATTAAAAAAAAAAAGACGATGTCAAACTAAAATAGATATATTCTAGTGTTAGAATAGAGAATTTGTCCACGTAGATGAATAGTATATATATATATTCTTCGCTTCTAAGAATGAAGATTATTCCCACAGACCAACACGAGTTCTTCCGACATAGTTTGTCTTCACCCGCATGCATCTTAGAAAAAATAAGGTGTACTTTCCTTTTCAGTGGCTTTAGTATACAAAATTCATAGTTAAACGTATTTTACTTAGAGTAATTTTATATTAGATGACCTTCTCAAAAAAAATTTATGATACATGTAAGAGAACAAAACATACAATGACCCGTGTTGGTATTAGAAAGCATGTTCATTGAATATTTAATTTAATTTAATTTATTGCGGTAATTACCTAATAATTTATTAGAAAATTAAAAATATTCTCAAAGGTAGCTTAGAAAAACAACATTTCTCATCTTCAACGACGTCTTTAACAAATATGAACAAAACGTCTTCAAGAATCTAAACGATAAAACAAAGTCGAGTTTCGAACTCTTAAACAAATTACCATTTTAAGCATAGATAAAACAAGAACACGAAACCTGAAACGAAAACATCACGGACCCGACACAAATGTAATTATATTTTCACATCAGAGAGGGAAGAACAAATCTAAGCAGAAGAAGGGGAATTCAAAACAGTGTTACATGGTATGTCATAATCAATCGTCACAACCACAGCCTCCGCCACAGTCAGCGCCGCAGCCGGCACTGTCTCTACCATCGCTGCCGTGAGCGGCTCCACCTTGTTTGGTTGGATCAGTGGCGTGTCCGAGCTCAACATCAGGGCATCTGGAGCGTCGTCTTGCAGCTTCCTCCTTCTTTGCACGGGTCTCAAGTACATGAAGACAGCAAAGAATCAACAAACTGGATATTATAGGACTGCAACCCAAAAGAACTATACCATAAACTTCCATTTTTAACGTTTTGGATCTCAACTTTCTCTAATTTGCTTTATACCAATGGTCAACTTCATGAGTGAAAACAACTGCAAGTTTTTCTTCTCTCATTTGACTTTTGGTGTACAAGGAAACCACCTTGAAACTTCATTTCTTCCCAAGGAATGAATATGGTGTTTTGGCACACCGTGAGGCTGACTAAAGCAAACCGGAAGATTACAATGGTATGATATTGTTTACTTTGAGCATAAACACTCGTGACTTTGCTTTGAGCTTCTCAAAAGGCCTCATACCAATGGAGATGTATTTCCTTATTTATAAACTCATGATCATTCTCTTAATTAACCAACGCGTGACTCCCTCCCAACAATCCTCAACTCGAACAAAGTACACCATAGAGCCTCCCCTGAGGTCTATGGAGCCCTCGAATAGCCTCACCTTAATTGAGGCTCGACTCTGAAGCCCTCGAACAATGCACATCCTTTGTTCGACACTTGAGTCACTTTTGACTACACTTTCGAGGGGTCCCAATTTCTTTGTTCGACATTTGAAAATTCTATTGACATTGTTAAGTTAAGGGCATGACTCTGATACCATGTTAGGAACCAGACTCTCCACAATAATATGATATTGTCCAATTTGAATATAAACTCTCATAGTTTTGCTTTGGCTTCCCAAGATGGCCTTATAGTAATGAGCCAGTGTGCAACTCCCTCCTAACAATCCTCAACAGTTATGTGGTGAGAAAGGAAAAGGCAACACAATACTACTTTGCGTTGAGAGAAGTGGAACAAGTAAAATGTGTGCTCCAGCTTCTCCCGACGCCTAATGAACTTTTTCCAACACAACATCGCATCGAGAAAGATCTAGATAAGATTACTTCTTTTTTGGCATTTTGGGAATCACATTTTGTCGATAACTCGAGTAATTGTCAAGCTTCAACAAGAGGTTGTGGAATTTCTGTAAGAAAAAAAACATAAATGAATACATTACAGCATCAAGCATGGTACTTGTTGTCATGATACATTGAGCAGAGAATGGTACTTGTTGTCATGATACATTGAGCAGAGAACTGTCTGTTTCCTCAGGATTCTCGAGAGCCATAATATGTTTCTTGAAAGAATCTGCCGCTTCTTCCCTTTCATCGAGCCGCCCCAATTTGTCAAATACCATTGCCATTAAATAGAAAGCTTCGGCTGCCAGTTCATGATACTTGGAGAGAACAACAGAGAAAGAGTCTACTGATCAATAACAGATATAAACAAAAGGAATGCAAAGCAGAAGCATTGATGCTAATAAAGTTGCTACAATCAAACGCAAAATCTTCTGTTAAGTTTATTGATCTCTTTGAAATTTCTCAGTGCAATGATCTCTAAATACAAGATTTTCAAATATGGCATGACAAGAACATGTATTTTTTGCACATTCAGGAGGGGTAAGAAGAGGCCGGAAATTCGATTGAGAAATTTGCAAAAGGTTAAATCGTTCTTCCTTCCTAATTGAAACTCTTAAAGTGTGTTCGTTTATAACTAGTAACATACCTCCAACAACTGAAGCTCTTCGGACGCTTGCTTCAAAGGATCCAACACAACCTCCGGGTCTTTAGAAACTGTTCGATGAGAAAATTCAGCCACGACAAAGTTCATTATTTGAGGAAGTATGGTTCTATAAGGGGAAAATGAAAAATTGCAGGTAAGAATTTCATAAGAACGATTACGACCATGTCTGGAGTACCTGAAAAGCTTGGACTACAGAGGTAGCATTTCGCTTCGACTATAAAAGCACGAGCTCGGAGCTCCAAACCTCCATGACCAAGAATCATCGGGAAAGCTCCATGTAAAAGATTCAAAGCCCTTTTTGAATGGCTAGGCCCAAGTGAGAGCCATAACTCAGCAATTGTCAGAGTGGCTGATGCTTTTAGAAGATCAAGGTTAAATGACTGGCAAAAGGAAAGGCTTGCCAAAGCATAAGGAAGACCTACAACAGCATTGCCTGATTTCTGGAGGGAAGGGAGTCAATAAGGACTTTATACTGGCTTATGAAAAGAAAATGAACGCACCCTTAAAATAAAATAGCAAAATTTATTTTCTCATCACAAAATGGTAGTTAGAAAACACACAATCTTTAAGTTTACCTTGTGTATTTCAGCCAGCAAAAGAAGAACAGAAGCATTCTGGACCTGTAGATTATATTTATAACACAAACAGAAAAGGGAGTGTGCTACACGAGCTGCCTGCAAAAATAATTACAATAGGCGATTTAGGGAGAAAGAAATCAAGAAATTGAGAGATATGCTATAAAATAAACTGTGCTACTGATTTTCCAAAGAATTGGATAATCTTTTCCATATTAGTTTCCCCAATACAAGAACTATAGAATTGATGTTCGCAAAATAATATGATATGTTCCCACAATTTGCTGAAACAGAACTATTTCTACACAACCAAACATGGAAACATGAGCTTAGTTTCAAAAGTTCTAACCTCACTGAACTGGTTTGCTGCAAGCAATGTTCGAGCATGACGAAAACTCGCCTCTGTCTTCAGATCCAAGTCCACACCAGTAACGGATGAGGCTAGAACCCCAATTTCATTACAAGCCTGCTGGGCAAGCTTCAAACAACCTCTAATGGAAGGATACGAAAAATTTAATAAAGGTAATAACTAGGAAAACGGTAAATAATCATCATATCACTAGAGATTACCTGTGTAGAGCATGCTCATGAACGAGCTGTAACTTTAATAGTAAAATCCGTGACTTTGAGAGCGATAAAAACTTCTCTTCTGCTACTTTAAGTGCACTAAAGGCCTCTGTTAAAGGAAAAGCACAGAGTTATAAATCATGACCACCATATGCACCTCATGGTACGGGAGAGTATGTCCAAGTGTCAGTTTGTTCGTGCATGTGCAATCACAAAACAGGAGGGGGCAGGGATATGGCAGAAAAAGGAAGCCCCCCTATTGGTTTGTCTTAGATTAGAAAAGGTTAACAAGGTTGACAGCCCGGCTTATCTGTTGGACTTTAAAGTTGCTTCCTTCTCCTCAATGAACTAAGAAAATTTCTATCTCAACAGTTAACACAATCTAGAAAGATTGAAGCAATGAAGAAACATTCTTTCAGGATGTGGGGTTACACAAAAAGTATCTACTTTCATGTAAATTAGTAGCAGAAATTTCACACACAAAAACAAAGGTAAAGAAAAGATTGGAAAAACATCTTCCAAGATGTGATTTTACAGAACTCCTTGACAACACAAGGAGTGATGATGATAGCCAGAATATATAAGTCAAGCAGCATAAAAAGAAAAAACCAATAACAAAACAATGAGCAGGACACTAATAATGAATAAAAATGACAGGTGGCTAAGCTACCTTGCCAACATAATGGTAACTTGATGCCTTATTACAGGTAGAGAAATAGTAAATGAAATGTGTCAATGAAGCATTTTCCCTGACCTTTGTATCCTTTAAAAATTGCCAAATGTTGTATGAGTTTCACATACGCCAATGATGCATCAGATGAACTGTATGACCACAAAAAGAAACGAAAGGTCTTTAACAATTTTAATGAAGAATAATTTAGAATATTAAAAAATACCCTTATAAGTTAGAAATTACCTTGATGCGTCTGCAAAACAAATTGCATAAAGAAGGGCGTTTATTCGTGCAAGAGGAGCACTGAAATGGCCAGGGAAGAAAAATGGTCAGGCAGCAAAACAATTGCAGACTGAATAATTATTTCGAGGGATTGGGGAACAAACAGGAAGAGAAAATTAAAATAACACATAGAATTGCTAAAATTAAATTCAATTACAACCAGTAGTTAAAACTAAAGTACGGGAGCAGAGATAATAATCTCAGTTTTGCAATTTGATCTACAAAATATACAAACACGCACACGCAACAAAAGTACTATAAGAGAGAGGCCCTTGTTAAGATCACCTGCCATATAGCTCAGCGGCACTTGCTCGTAACAAGTATGAAGAGCCTAATAACTGTAAGACAGATCCAGGAATAGAGGTGGGTTGTGCAAAAAATGGTAATTCACTCGAGTTATTCCCCGATTCAGGGTCTCTAGACAATACATGTGAACCCGCAGGCTTTTGTAAATTCTTAAGCCATGTAGTGCTAAAGGATCCATCTGTTGTCTTTGTAGAACTTTCAGTGCCATATTGACAAATTAAATGATTACTCAACCTTAGCTCCTGTCAGAATTAAATGCAAGTATCAGAATAAAATAGAAAATAATATCCTCCTCAACAGATATAGACACACACATAAATCTACATGAAGATAATCCTTTTTTCCCATTTTAAAAAATAGATAAATTATGAAAATAATAATTTAAACAAAGTATCTAGTAATGGAAACAATGAAAGATAATCATCGTGTTAAACGTTACCTTACAGACACTTATTGGAGAAGTTCTAAGCTTTGAAGAAGCTCTTGGACCAAATGACAGAAGAGGTCTTTGCACATGCTGCAAATAATTTACAACCCGCCAATAGTTAATGAATAAGGAGATTTCCCTACTCTCTCAGTACGTTCAACATGAATAAGTAAGCACTGATTTTTTTTCGTCATAGCACACAGCAGACAGGTATAAGGAATCCACACTGTTTCAGTGAATCCGAAAAAAGAATCCCCACTAGTAATCAATAAAACTAGTATTTGAACTTAACAGTAGCCAACAACCGAATAAATAGGGTGTCCTGTTTGTTTTTTTTTTTTCCTATCCCGGAAATGTTGGGAATGTAGTCGTAGAAAAATAACTTCAAGGAAATATCTCTCAAGTCCACTTTATTTTCCTAATCTTTCAGAATTCCTCCAGTGTGGTTGCAACCCAAAGAAAATAATACAATTTAGTCAGTTTGGCCAAGTAGGGTCGGTCAATTCAGTTTTATATTAATTTTTAAAAGAACAAAAAATTTAGTTATTCGGTTGGTGTCAGTTTTGGTTGTCTTAGTCGGTTAAAGTGATTTATAGTTGGTTGCAGTTGGTTTAACTGGATTTTTTTGGAGGTTGTTTTGGTTTTTGAAAGTCATAAAGGCAGAAGCATGAGGTGAACTGGTAATACACAATCACCAATCTTCAGGGGGGGAAAACAATACGCAAACCATGTGTACAAAATAAACATAAATTAACAGAAAGAATCTATAAAATGCGAAGTTGTTACCATCAAATGAAATTTAGCCATAGCAAGATGGTTGGAGGCTACTAATCGTTTCAACTTCAAACTTTCAGCTCGTCTTAGGGACTCCGTCAAAAGCACAAACAATTGTTGTTGGACAGATAGTGAAATTCCCATGCTCATTAAAGGTGAATAGGATGACCCGAGTATTCCACTAGTGCGTGAGAAACCACTTTCAGATAACAAATTTCCTATAGCTGCTAAGGTATATGTGAGGCATGTATCGTTGCTTTGCTGCAAAGAATATTCGAAGTTAAGATATGATCATGCCTTTAAATATCTATCTCATATAGTTGTCAAAGATTCACTCCAAAATTATCTAAGTGAATTCATTAGTTTGTTCTTTAGAGCTCCAAGACTATTTCCTCCATATCAATACTTAGAGAATCATAAATGCAAATGAAATTTACCTGTTGCGATACATGGACTGCTTCAGTCAAAACCTGACGATTATCCAAAAAAACAAAACGAATAACTATTAGTTAACCAGAGCAACATAAAATATTCATTTGCTAAAATTCTAGCCTCGTGATTAGAGAAGATACTTGAATGTTGGTAATTGGTGGAAAAGAGAAACTGACCTCTAAAGCTTGCTTTGGATGCCCGAAGTGAACATGCATCATCCCTAAACATAATAAAGCAATTTCATATCTTCCAAAGCTGTTGCAGCCAGATCCAGGAGGGACAAAATCAAATCCTTCAGTCCCTGCACTTTTGTGGCAAAAGTCAAGGGAAAGCAATAAGAAAAAAGTTCGGACATAGTAATCAAGTGCTGTTTGATATATACTCCACCTTCCCCCCCCAAAAAAAAAGTGTTTCATTGTATCCTTTTTAATAATTGAAACTCCCCGTCATTTATATACTTCTCCCCCATCCCCTAGACTTCATTCTGACAGACGACAGTCTGTCCAAAGACTAGAAGGCGAGAAAAGATAACAGAAGAGGAATGTGAAAGAAAATGTTCATTTTATTGATAATAGTTCTCCATATTAATCAATGCATTATATCTCTTCATTCAAAGAAAAGAGTGATCACATTGGCTAGGGAAATCATCAACTAACATATGAAAGGAAAAGGTATTGTTAGTTGCTTACCTGTAGTCGAAATAGCGGTGGACATTTTCCAAAGCAGAAAAATAATCATCATGAGAAAGGGTGTTCAAATAACGCAGAAAGTGAACCTGCATCCGGTTTCAACAGAGATAAATAGGGCAGTTCACATGTTAAAAGAAATCTAATATAGTAAATAATCATGAAAATATTGGAAAAAGATTCAATTACTCGATGGAGTTCAGGTGCCATTTTTTGGAGCTGTTTAAGAACCATTTCAAAAGCATTCAGAGAAAATAAGCTTCCAAGCCTGCACCAATTTTTAAAATTCAATTAGTGTTATAGCAAGGAACAACATTTTCTGGGTTGATTAAGCATATTTACTCTTACTTTTCAATTGTTTCAGCTTGTGCATCTAAGTAGCCTTGCATCTGCCAATTTGTCCTCAGGAATGCACCACCACTGGGATCCATATCTCTCGAGGTATTGCAAAGAGTGTGAGAGTAGGAAAAAGCTTCTTTAGCTTTACTGCTAGTTTTGCACGTCGAGAAAGAAGGAACATCAACATCTGTAATTTTGAGAAATACAGATCAATAACTATGATAAGAAGCTTAAATTATTTAATTCTATGGGAAATTTGAGGAGTTGCAAAAATTAGTAGCAACTTCCATAAGATTGTGAGAGAGTTAGTGCATCTCAGCTTAAGTTTATGTATGCGGGGAAGCTAATGGGTCTGCAGACCCTAAGTAGTTGATGATATAAGCACCGAAACTCAGCCCTCTCAAATGGTATGAGAATTTTGTAACCATTTTCTTCCTTATAGCTTAATTCAGTACTAAATTGGTGTAAATTTGAGCCAAGTCATAATTACATATGGACTTGGCAAGAAGATGTCGAAAGGAAACAAAAAAAATTGAGATGATCCCCAAAAAAATCCAGCTCGTCTCTTCTCCATTGAAGATTCTACTATTCCCGCAAATCAAAGCCTCTAAAGAATAGAATTCACAGCATTAGACCATAAGATACCAGTTTTATCTTTGAAGGGACCACCTGCAGTAAGCTGGAACCTAACAGAAGGCATTAGTATTGTTCTTCTTTGAGGGAAACAAAATATAGTAAGGACCAAAATATCGTTCTTCTTTGAGAGAACCGAATTGGCAAAAGTTAACCTCCCTCTTCTTTGAGGGCAAATGTTGAGAACATATCAAAAAGAATTAAATTTCTCATAAGCTGACAACTTAGGATTAGGTCTTGGGGTGTTTAATATGTTAGTCAAACATGCAATACTAAGTTCAAATCCTTGCGGCATTTCTTCCTATGTCCGTTTTGCTATTTCACATATTGATTCTCAAGACAAAGGGTTCTAAATTAGACTAAAGGATTACATTTATCCTAATCCAATCGTTCACTAACTTTAATCTGGTCAAGGCATTGAGCTCAAGTTGAGGTTTTCCTCCTCTTACCTGTATATTTTTTCTTACACGACAAGATAGACTGCTTGTACAGGAAACCAAAATTTTGAAGCAAAAGGCCTTTTGATGGAGCTTACAAAAAGCCGTCCAAACAAAAGCATAGAGCAACAAGGCTATAATTACAAAAAAGAATTTAAGAGAGCAAAGAAGCTAAAATTTTAAAGCAAGCCCAAGTTGGTTCCCCATGAAATTTGTTTCCCTTTTTCATCTAAAAGTTAACTAGTTCCTCCAAAACCAATTTTGCTATAGCAGTGATGTACATCATTCCCACTATAACACGTGGGAAAGATAAGAATGAGTGAAGGCGAAGGAATTAATGAATGGAAACAAGAAAATGATATATAGAGTTTAATCTCTCAAGAAAATTAATCGAATGACAAAAAAAATTTGCGATCATTTATACACATGGTTTATTTAATTTTCCAAGATGTTTTTCATATAAAGAGCCAATGAGTAAACAACATGTGCCTGTACCTTCAGCCAATCCAGAAAGTGCTTCGGACATATGAAAATGAAAAGAAATGCCCTGAGTGCTCCTTTTTTTTGCTTCAATTTCTTCATTAACCTTTTCAAAAACAAGATTCTCCAGGTCCATATTTTCATATTCCGGCAATGTCTCCAAATCATTCCTAGTATCCTCTACTTCAGATGCTCCATAGGAACAACTTGAAAGAGTTTCTTTGCAATACATTCCTATATTTGTCAGAAGATGGCAAACACCCTGCATTGAATTTTCAGAAATGACCATCCAATTTGTAAAGCAACAGTATAACCCAAGTTCAAAAAAAGAAATTTATATTCAAAGAAATTGATATTAAAAGCAAACGACGCAGGAGATGTTCTTATCGCCATTTACTCCATTGCTCCTATTTCTCACTGGAAACACCAACCGTTGCAGTAAACCAGTTTCCGAAACATTAACGAGTGAAGGGGGTAATAACTATTAAGACAGTAAGTAAACTAGTACCTCAAATGATAATACATTGAAGGCAAGAACACAGCGACGAAGGAACATTCCTAAATTGCTGTTGGGGTCCAAAACGATCTGGTCATCTTCCATGACACCTGAATCAGAACCTCCAAGGATTCCTGAATAAATCGAGATTTGAACTTCTTTAGTGAGATGCAAGGTTGGTGAATTGAGAAAACAAGAAAAAAAAACTAAATCATACAATGAAAGAGAGTAATATTGGCCATACATTAGAACTTAAAGAAGACAAAAAAGAAGTTTGGGTGAGAAATGAATGAAGGGTTTGCAGAACTAACCTCGCATCTCATTAAAGAAGTTAAACAAATCATCAGGGGAGGCTAGAGATGACAGCCTACTTGTTAAATGATCAATCAACCAATGATCCAGCAAGCCACCAACTTCCCTTAATTGATTTATGAGCTCTTCAAGTTTTGGTTCCAAAATATCATCGCAAGACTGGAAAACAAAACATGCCACTACATAACATCTAGACAAGCATATATACTACCACCAACAGGCATTCACTGGAAATATGAGCATGATTATGAAGGTAAGGACTAAGGATTGAAGAGTTTAATGTTGACACTAGTAAAGTACCTTAGTGAGAGCCAACAAGAACAGACCAAGACGATTATGCTGAGCTACTGTTGAAAAAGAAAAAGGTACTGAGGTTTTAGCTGGTGGAGCAAATATTTGTAGCAGTATGCAGACAGAAACTTTGTGCGGCGTGACCGCGAATCCCCCTAGCGATTTGAAAATCCCAACCATTTTAGAGCAAAATTCTCCGGTTCTCTCTGCCTTGTAGAAGATGCGAATCTCTTGAGATAATTAAAAGCATTGCTAATCCAGCTGCACCATCTACATCCACCACCAAAATCTCCACGGTAATACTCACTGAAAATGATAACGAAGAAGTTCAGAACTCAAATGCAAGTTATACCTTAAGAGGTCTAGCTTGGAAGCGGATAGGTACCGATGGGGCTATCTGGTGCAGAATATTGGCTAGAGAGGTGAGATGAAGCTTGTGAAAGCTAATTTTGGTGTTCGGAACGAACCAGACCGCCGGAGAGAGTGGAGAGGGGACGGCGCGGCGGGAAGGAAAGGGAAGAGTAGGAGGGAGAAAGGAGAGAGTTTTCAAAAAGAAAAAATTGTGAAATTACAATTTTGGGTTCTTACGTAGCAAATTTCAATTTCATCCCTATTATTTTAAAAAGTTTCAATTTAGTCCCAATATTTATCCTTATACTTTTAAAATTTTAATTTTAGTTCGACAATATATTAAAATAACTTTTGATATTTTAGACACGGCAATTAAATTATGCTCGGATTAATAGTTCTTGCATTAGCTGATTATATTATAATGCAACACTCAGTCGAACCTTTGGGTCAAAAATGGTTCATGGACCCGTCGTTGAAATTTGAGTTAGGATGTGGGGACTAAATTGAAAATATTAAAATCATTAGAACCAATATGGAAAGAATTTGAAACGGTAAAAACGAATTTTTCAAAAGTGATTCATATGGTTTCAGCAATAACTATCTTGAATGAGGTTGAGCTCGAGTGAGTCAACTAGAGAACATCAAACTCAAACACAGAAGCTTCTTGCCTCGAGTGCCCCATACTTTTAGGGCAACGATCAATCTTTTTCCACTGTTTCAAGATTTCGTTAGGCATCACACAGTTGATACCGCTATCTAACAGGTCTATCTAATCAACCATCCTCTAATCTCTCTACTCCCGAGATTTTGTTAGGCATCACACGATCAACCACATCAACAAATTACGGTACAGTGTGCGGATGATAGGTCTCAACACTCTTTTGAAACATTACAATAAGCTCTTATCAGAAAAGATATAGTTAAACTCCAACTCATTCATAACATCACGATAGACATGAAAACTGTGACACAAAGCACGAAGTCGCTACAATAGCAACCAATTGGTTTAGTTGAATCGAGTTATGAACCAAACGAGTTTATAAGGAGAAGACTCGAATCTAGTAGGATAGAAGATAATAAAACAGTATAAAAAGGAAGCTCAGTTCGATTCCAAATAATTTAAACAAGAAAACAAATGACCAAGTCTATGCAGTTTGAGATAGAAAAGCTCTTCCAGGCTGACGGTTAGCAAGAGGCCCATGGCAACCAAGAAGCTTTGCGTTAACACCATCAGGAAGAATCTTGTTCTCCGCCTTGTACTTTAGATACTCAGCTCGGCTGAATTTAGTGAACCCCCACTTCCTGCTTACAATGATCTTCTGACGACCAGGAAACTTGAACTTAGCTCGGCGGAGAGCCTCCTGCGCATTCTGTCCGTTGTTGTCCTTGCAGCGAACCGAAAGGAGAACCTGACCGATGTCCACCCTCGCACAGGTTCCTAGTGGTTTGCCAAATGCACCTCTCATACCAGTTTGGAGCCTATCAGCCCCAGCACACGAAAGCATCTTGTTAATACGTAGAACATGGAACGGGTGCACCCGAACCCTCAAATGGAACGCATCCTTCCCTGCAAACTTGGTCATATACTTATTGCAGGCAATCCTAGCTGCTTCCAAAGCCTCACTTGACACATTTTCTTTCTCCCAACTCACAAGGTGGACACAGAATGGAAATTCATCAACTCCTTTCCTTTTCATGCCAACATCATAGATCCTAATCTTGGGATCGGGGACACCACGACAAAATCGAGACTTGGGGTATGGTTTGTTTTTAATCTGTCTGTAACACCTAGCCGGTCTTCTCCCCATTGCAAGCGTGCTCAAACTGAAACCTGTATAGTTGTACAAAAATATAACAACATCACGTAAAAGTTAACTGGATAATGTCCAAAACTAGATGGCTAATTGAAATTGCTCCCAAATCTCGTGTAACAGTCTAAGCCCAAGCCCATCGCTAGCAATTATTATCCGTTTTGGCTCGTTACATATCACTGTATCGCCGTCAACCTCACAGTTTCAAAACGCTGTCTACTAGGGAGAGGTTTCCACACCCTTATAAGGAAGGCTTTGTTTCCCTCTCCAACCAATATATGATCTCACAATCCCCACCCCCTTGGGAGCCTAGGGTTCTCGCTGGCACATCACTCAGTGCCTAGATCTGATACCATTTGTAACAGCCCAAGCTCACCGCAATCCCCACCCCCTTGGGGGCCTAACGTCCTCGTGGGGTGTCTGGCTCTAATACCATTTGTAACAGTTCAAGCCCACCGCTAGCAAATATTGTTCGCTTTGACCCGTTACATATCGCCGTCAGCCTCACGATTTTAAAACGCGTCTACTAGGGAGAGCTTTCCACACCCTTATAAGGAATGTTTTGTTCCCCAATCCAACTGATGCAAGATCTCACATCTGGCGACCAACCCTCACCCAATTCTCAAAACCTATCCTATTTCCCTTTCCATGAACATCAAAATGCTGCACCCAGTATAACCTCATTACTTAGACAATAGATGAAAAATCAGCTTAGGAGATTTAAATCCAGATGTAACTCAAAATCAACTAAACCTTCAACAATTGAAGTTATAACCAATAGGACTTGTACAGAAAAGGTCAGGCCAGTTTTTTGGCCACTAAACGTAAGAAATAATGAACAGAGAATAAATCAGACAGCAGTGTTGTAAATCATACAGACATATCCTTGAAACTCGGCACAACTACACTTAGCCGCACCAGGAGAACAGTAAGATATGCCCGATTATCATAAGTACCTGCTTCAATCATCATCTTCTCCTCGTTCTTAATTTTATAACACAGAAGCAACCATATAAAGTTGTTGAAACTAATTATAGATCATTATTGACGCTAAATGGATTCAAATAGCCCTAAACCGATCAAATGAACGCTTTATGGCTCAACACAACTCGTGAACTTTCCTCTGTTTCAGATAAAAACTAATCTACGATTTCCCGAATGCAACATTAGCACTAACAACAGCTAGTTTTCGGGTTCAGCAACCAGAAAGCATCAAAACTACGACCGAAATAAAGATTACAAAGCAAAGATGGAAAGAAAAAGTAGTGTTCGTACCACCAAAGCAGCGATTGAGAGATAAGTTGTTGAAGCGGCGGCGGCGGCGGCGACGCAACGAGATTCAGCTCCTAAAATGGTTGTTAACCCTTTTTATAGCAGATTTGGAAGCAGAAATTGGGCCAAATACCCTTTTTCAACTTTGTCAACAAAAATTGGCTACTTGAACAACAAGTTTGTCCAACATAATTCATTTCACACTCCTGGATTGATTTCTAATTGATAAGATTTTAAAATTTTTATTAAAAATTATAAATTATTAAATAAAGCGTAAAAATTACAGTATTTACCTAAGTTGATGGTGTAACATGATAAAATTAAATTATAATGTTCAGTTAAAGTTTAGGGTAAAATACGATGAAATTAAAAGTTTGGGTTAAAAATTGATACTAGGTAGTACATCTAACCCGACAAACCAGACCAACCTAACCCGAATTATAAGAATTGGGTTGGATTGTTTTTTCTGAATTCGAAGTGACTCGGTTCGATTTTCAATTCATAGAATAAAAAACTCGGATTGACCCGAAACCAAATAAAACTTATAAATAACATTGAGAACTCTATCATGTGTAAAGGTCTGTAAGAGTGGCAATCCGAGTTTACTCGAGGATATTTATAAACTGACAAATCACACACTATAAATTTTGTGTTAATTTAAAAATATGATTTATGATCGATTATTTAATATGATTTTAAAAGGTATTTTTATTTTTTTATATATAATTTCTTTAAACTAATCTTTTTTTTAATTTTATAATCTACACCATTTTTTATTTATGTTAGGTTAAACTGTTCATTTATATTATTTTTTAATTTTATATTTTCGACTAACCAATTTTTATTAAAAAATGTAGATATGTTAGAATTTTTTTTTATTTCTGTCTATGAATTTATATATTTTTAATAATTATAGATTGATTTGTAAATTTTTAATATTTTTTTATCTAAGATTATATATAAATTAAAAAAAATTAAAAAAAAATAGCAACTAGAGAACCTAACTCGAATCCAACCTGAAAATAGAGGGTTGAGTTGTGATGAAATTTTTAGGTTGGGTTACTAATTCAACCAACCCGAACTTGGGTAAAAAAAAATTCTCTTAACCCAACCGAACGCGGACTGTGTACACTCTTAATTGATACCACAAATTTAAAAATAAAAATTATTATTTTTAATTGATTATAGTTGAAATTTATTAGTGCGGATTTCAATATTGCGTATGGTATTATGATTCCAAACTGCACACTCATAACCGACTCTCTCCCCCACACGTTTACAGTGACGCCTGCAAGCGTGTGAAGCAATATATGAAAGCTTGGGTTTTGATATAAGTTTTGACATTTCAGAGTTAAGTTCATCTATATAAAATATGAAAGCTCACCAAATTTGACGTCAATTGGATACTCGACATACGTTGCATGGGGTTATATGACTGTTCGCCAAAATAAAGTCCACTTGAGAAGTATTGAAATTGTCTAGAAATGTACCATAGGGGACGTGACTAGTTGTCAATTATTTATACTCGTTTATATGTTATTAAAGTTGTAGTTGTTGCTTATTAACATTAATTTCTTTCAAATTATTTTCAACGTATTTAATCGCTCATATTTTCTAAAACATTTCTTTTAAATGTGACCCAAGACTCGATTATACGTCAAAATTGTTCGCAAAGTTCGACTTTCATATGACTAACTCATTCGCCGTGTTATAACAAATGTCGCATAATCGTTGTTCGTCGTTATAAAGATGTAATTGATACTTCAACGACCACTATTAAAATAGAAGCCTAAATTGTAATTTTTTTTTTTTTTAAATATTATGTCTCATATTCTTAAATTGAGAAGTGCAGTTTGGAATGGAAGATTTTTCTTAAAATGTTCGTCGATATATTTGTAAATTTGACGTTTTTCTCCTATTTTCTCCCCTCACAAATTATTAATTGCCAAACATAGCCCTTCAAATTTAAATTGTCCATAAACCATATAAAAGTCGATGAATAAATATTTAAAAACGCTCATAGATATTGTTCGTTTTAGCTCATTACCTATTGTGTGTACTGGGTAGAAGGGTAGAAGTTTCTATACCTTTATAGGGGGATCTAATAATCCTTCCCTTTGAGAGTCCAGCATCTTCACTAACACACCGCTTTGTAAGCACCCAGATCCACCGCTAGCATATATCGTCTGCACCCAGATCCACTACTAGCAGATATCGTCCGCACCTAGATCCACCGCTAGCAGATATCGTCCGCACCCAGATCCACCGCTAGCAGATATCGTCCGCACCCAGATCCACCGCTAGCAGATATCGTCCTCTTTGGGCTTCCTCTTTTGGGCTTCCCCTCAAGGCTTTAAAACGCGTCTATTAGGAGAAGGTTTCCACACCCTTATAAAGGGTGGTAGGAGAAGGTTTCCACGCCCTTATAAATGATAGCTTGTTCTCCTCCCCAACCAATGTAGGACATCACAATCCACCCAAAGAGGACAATATCTGCTAGCAGTGGATCTGGGTCGTTACAAATGGTATCAGAGCCAAACACCGGACAATGTGCCAGCTTTCTCACTGTTCCCCGAAGGGGTTAAACACAAGGTATTGTGCCAGTAAGGACGTTGAGCCCTGAAGGGGGTGGATTTGGGGATGTCCCGCATCGATTGAAGAAAGAAAAGAGTGCCAGCAAGAACGCTGGGCTCTGAAGGGGGTGGATTGTGATGTTCCACAGTGGCTGGGGAGGATAACAAACCACCATTTATAAGGGCATTTATAAGGGTGTGGAAACCTTCCCATAGCATATTAAAGCCTAGGGGAAGCCCGAAAGAGGGAAAGTCCAAAGAGAACAATATCTAGTAGATCTGGGCCGTTACAGCTTCATGTCTCCCCTAGCAAATATTGTCAACCATTTATAATTTATAATGCCCCAAACCATCCAATTATTAAATTTATAATTATTTAGCACATGAAGTTAAATAACTCGTGCTTAATTATTTAGTCTAAATTAATAAAGTTAGATTATCAATATTTTCTACATTTTTTTTATTGTACTATGCTATTGAAATTATATTATATATTATTATTATTTTAAATAAAAAGGAATTTCAATCTCCCAATTATAGGGAATAACTAACTACAAATTGACTTGGTCGAAGGGATAAGAAATTATTATTTTAAATTATTTTTGTTGTTTTTTTTAGAAATTATAATTTTCTTTGCGTTAAATAATAATTATTATAAATTTTAAATGATAATTGATGAAATTATATTGAGAAAATAATGTAGATGAAATATAGACCAGATTCAAAATAAAATGGGCAAACCGGTAATTTTGCCAAAAAAGTGGGCCAAATCGAAATTTATTTTAATTATTAAAAAATAATCCATATTTTAAGCGTGAGGATAATTAAATCATTTTTTTTTTCCTGAAAAAAAGAAAATAGTTTTTTTTATTTTTATTTAAATATACAAATTGGATATTTTTCATCACATATCAGCGATCCTTCTCGTAATCAGTCAAATCAAACTTCAATCCATCTTCACCGACAATCTCGCCGGGATGGACGAACCCACGACAGAGCCACCACATGAACCGCCGCCGTCGGTGGAAAGGAGTTACTGGAGGAGGTGGAGCAAGCAAGACATTTTTCCAGAAGAGTCATTCCGGGACTGTTCTTCGTACAAATATGCTTTGTCGCAAACGTGTTCTCGCCTTAAGGACCGTCTATTGGACCGTTCCTCCGACGCCAATGAGCTCTTCGAACTTCCTAAGGTCAGCGAAGTCGGGATGAAGAAATGTCTCACTTGGTGGGACTTGATTTGGCTCGCTTTTGGCTCTGTTGTTGGTTCTGGTATTTTCACGATCACTGGCCTCGAAGCTCGCGATGATGCTGGACCTGCAATTGTGGTCTCTTACGTAGTTTCGGGGATCTCTGCGTTGCTCTCTGTCTTCTGTTATACTGAATTCGCTGTTGAAATTCCCGTCGCCGGAGGTTCCTTCTCGTTTCTTCGCATCGAATTGGGGGATTTTATTGCGTTTATCGCCGCGGGGAATATCTTCTTGGAGGCGATTGTTGGTGCGGCTGGACTCGGGCGGTCTTGGTCTTCCTATTTTGCGAGTATGATCAACACTGATAACCCTGATTTTCTTCGGATTAAGGTGAATTTCTTGTCGGAAGGGTTTAATCTTCTTGATCCAATTGCTGTTGTAGTGCTTCTTGTTGCTAATGGTATTGCTATGAGTGGAACGAGGAGGACATCTTTCTTGACATGGATAACTTCTGTGCTCAGTACTTTCCTAATTTTCTTTGTGATTGTGGTTGGATTTATGAGAGGGAAATCTTCAAATTTGGTACCCTTTTTCCCTTTTGGTGCGAAGGGTGTTTTTCGAGCTGCAGCTGTTGTTTATTGGTCTTATACTGGATTTGACATGGTGGCCACCATGGCTGAGGAAACCAAGCAACCTTCAAGGGATATACCGGTGGGATTGATTGGATCCATGTCTATGATCTCTGTGATCTATTGCTTGATGGCCTTGTCATTAACAATGCTGCAAAAGTATACGGAGATAGATAGGAATGCAGCCTTTTCCGTTGCATTCGATAAAATTGGGATGACATGGGCTAAATACTTAGTTAGCATAGTTGCTATCAAGGGAATGACTACAAGCTTGCTGGTGGGATCTATGGGGCAAGCTCGTTACACCACACAGATTGCTAGAGCCCATTTGATTCCACCCCTTTTCGCCTTGGTTCACCCGAAAACGGGAACTCCCGTATATGCTACACTTTTGACAACCATAACTAGTGCAATTGTTTCATTTTTCTCTAGTTTGGATGTCTTATCAACTGTTTTTTCATTCAGCACACTTTCCATTTTTATGCTTATGGCTGTTGCATTACTTGTAAGGAGGTACTATGTTAAGGACACAACACCAAGAAGCGATTATATCAAGTTTCTGATTTTGTTGTTTCTGATCTTTGGTTCTTCTATAGCATTGACAGTAGTTTGGAATTTGGATAGGCAAGGATGGATAGAATATGTTGTGCCTGCCTCTATTTGGTTCCTTAGCACGTTGGCTATGTCGTTCCTTCCCAAGTACCGATTGCCAAAAGTTTGGGGTGTCCCTCTTGTTCCCTGGCTCCCATCACTGTCTATAGGGATGAATCTTGCTCTAATTG